TAACTCTTATATATTGAATCCTCACACACTTAAGCCTCAAGACACTAAAAATTTTTTACATATTTATTCTCCAACATATGAAAATTATTATAATTATCATCAATATCCTATCCAATCTGATTTTATTATAAATCTTGATATTAATGATTTGTCGATTAAAAGATTATCACATAACGAAAATTGGAAAATTCTTTTACAAAATCAAGAGCGTTATTTGAGTAATACATTTTTTAACATAAAAGAAATTAAGCAATTCGCACAGGAAACCTGTGAGTCAGATCAACTTTTAATTCAGAGTTATTCAGATGAACCTAAAAAATTGCCCTATGGAGAGTCATACACTTGGATAATAAATACCATTCCAAGTAGTTATTTTGAACATTACCAATTAACAACTGTAAAAGCAATTATTGGTGAGGAATCAACTGATGAAAAATCGATTAATCAACCTACTGACGAAGATGATAGTTACATTTTAAGATATAAATTGCTCGAAAATGGAGATATTATATTGGCTTATTCTCAAGGCGTACAGATTTTATCAGTAAATTCTCAAACAAAAAAACTTAGTACAATTTATATTTGGAGCGATGAAAATGAAAACGAAAAAGAAACTGTTCAACAATCAACTAAAAGACAACTTACTTCCTTTATTAAAAAGATCAATAAATCAAATTTTAAAATTTTACCACCCCCAACTTTCGATTATTATTTGATAGACGATGTTATGGATAATGAACTTGAACTAGCATTAAAATTATATGGAAAAGACTTATTATATCAACTAGCTCAAATTGGAAACAAATATCGTATTGAAAAATTATTTACTAAATATTTAAACCAAAGTATTTCAGCATATAAGAGTAGTGATGCTTACGACTTTATGTTGTTTACAAGTCAAATTGCTTTTGCGCTGATAAAATTAGAAGAATGTGATCAAAATTCAAAATTTACTGAAAGATTTTTATCTAGAACTAATTTACTACTTCTTGCAAACTATATCAATGATAATTCTACATTACCTCATCTTCATCATTGTGGAATTTATGATCATACATCCTTATCTATGATTTCATCATTTGATTACTTGCTTTTTTGGATCTCAGAAAAATGGAACCTTTTAAAAGAGAAATATCCCAAAATTTGTAAAATTTTAGCATCTCCTTATATATTTTACTCAGGTTTTTTTACCAATTCTGCACAAAAAACTGTAACATTATTGATTCCTTTATTACATTTTGCCACATATCCCGAAGAATATTCATATTTTGAATTATTACATTTACCTGATAATTCCTTTACCACAATTGATGCACCTGATTATTATAAATGGTGGAATATTAAAGCGTTAATTAGCTTCAAGTGGAACACCTATGGAAAACGATATTATTTTATAATTTGGACAACGTATTCAATTTTTATGTGCTGTTTTTTAACAGTCTCAACAATTCCAGAAAATGCAATGTCTTGGCATTATCAAGCAACTCTTTTGATATCAACTATTTTTTTCGGATTCATTCATCTTATTTTTGAAGCTCGTCAGTGTATTCATAAACCAATGTCTTATATTGCTAGTCCTTGGAATTGGATTGGTATGTATATTTAATTTTATAACATTAAAAAGTTTATTATATAATTTAATTTGCTATAATTTTATCTACAGATCTTGCTGCAATATTAACTCCAACAATAACATCCTTCATATGGTTACGTGATGAAAAACCACAAATTTGGATTGTGACTATTGCTTCTTTTTTACTTGAAATTAAATTCTTATTATTTTTTCGTGCTTTGAAATATTTTGGAAAATATTTTGCAATTATGCTTGGAGTGGCGCGACAAGTCTTTTCATTTCTTGTTGTTTTAGGCATTTTGGTTTTAGCCTTTGCTCATTCTTTACATCTTTTATTAAGACCTATCAGTGAATATTCTTATGATCAGCCAAGTAATACTAACGATGCTAATAATCCTTGGAATCTTGTTCCAACATATAAATTTGTTTCATCTAATGGCTCTGTTGGAGAATCATCCATTATTAAAACTCCTGATAATAATACAAATTTATTTACGATGTTTAGTACTTCTATTTTAGCAGTATATTTTATGCTAACAGGTATTATACAAAAATAATCTTAACAAATTTATATTATAATAATTAATAATATTTATGTTTTTAGGCGATTCAAGTGCAATATCTTCGTGGGGTTTAGTTGATAATTGGACTTTAACATTTTTATTAGTTATATTTTCA